CCGTAGGTTTTCTTTTCGCTCTCTTAAGAATATCCTTTGAAGGAAGAAAGTTTTACATTTTGATAAAGTCTAATTTATCTATATTTTTCCTTTCGTTGCTTGTGCTTTTGGTGTCATTGCTAGGAAAGCTTTGCCTAGCCCCAAATCACAAAGATTTACTCCTATTTTTTAGAAAGAGTTTTACTGTTTTAGCTCTTACTTCTAAGTCTTTGAACTTGAGCTAAGTTTTGTATATGACCCAAAGAAGGAGTCCATGTTCATCCTTCTGCGGATATCCAAACAGCAACACCCTTTGTTCAAAGGGTTATTTTCCCATTGAATTTTCTTAGCACCCTTTGTCGAAAATCACTTGACCGTAAATATTTCTGGATTCTCAACTTTATTCCATTAATCTAAATGGCCTTCTGTTCTTAGGCCATTACCACGCAGTCTTGATTCCTGTAGCCTCGCAGCAAGTTTTGAAATCAGCAAGCGTGAGTCTTCCAGCTTTGTTCGTCTTTAAGGTTGTTGGGTTCTTCTGGGCCCTTTGTGTCTCCATACGCATTTTAGGATCAGCTTGTCAATTTCTGTAGAAAAGGCAGCTGGGATTTCGATAAGGGTTGATGTGAATCTGTCTCTCAGCTTGGGGAGCGCTGGGCTCTTAACAATATTGTATTAAGTCGTGAACATGGGACACCGTTCTGTTTGCTCAGGTCTTGAATTTCTTTCAGTGATGCTTTGTTGTTCTCAGAGTACAGGTTCTGTGCTTCCTTTGTTAAATTTATTCCTAAGCATTTTATTCTTTCTCATCTTAATCACTTGTAAAATTATTTTTAACCTTTTATTTTAAAACAGTTTCAACTTTATACAAAACTAACAAGGATTGTACACTGAACAACCGAATTCTCTTTTTTCATATTCACCTTTTGACGTGGAGTCCATTTTTTTCCCTCTATGGTTAGTAATCTTTGTATACAGTTTAAGAAATCTTCGCATGCCTCACAGAGAATTATTTTCAGGATTCCAAAGCATCTTCCCGTTACTGGCCAGGCCAAGTGACGTCATGCCTCCGGGACAGGGGCATGATGGTGACGTAAGTGGGTCATGGCTGACAGTGTGCACTTGGTCTCATGGGATTCTGGTGAGCCACTTGACTTCCAGCAGTGGCATCAGTGGTTTGACCACTTGCAAGGAGCAGGACATCCTGGCCACCCACCAACTGTTCAGCCCAGAGAGTGGAGATGCTGTGTCACCCAGAGAACACAGTGGTGGGTTTGGAGAAGGGGCAAGTGGCCAGGGGACCAGGCCCCTGAATGTGAGGTCCCTGCTTCCACTGCAGGCCAGCCTGGAGCAGGGTCCTGGGAGCCCTGAGAGTTCCCGGGAGACTCTGGGATCCACAGGCAGAGGCTGTCCTCACCTCGGGCTTCTCCGCCAGGCTGCCCCAGGGTCTCTGAGGTTGGGCAGAGCTTTGGCCAGGATTCTGGAGATCTGGGTTCCAGTCTCCCTCCTTGACCTGGGCAAGTCGCTCTGCCATCTGGCCAGTCATAAGAGGAGGAACTGGTGTGGAGCAGTGGGGAGAGCTAGGGCTCTGGAATCGGGCCCTCTTGGGCTCAGATCCCGCCATCTTGGTGGCCGTGGGCAAGTTACTTAGTCTCTCTGTCTCTGATCCATGCACTCTCTCCCCTCATGGGACCGTCAGGTCCTGGCCTCTCCCCTGTTCTCCTGGACGACTGGAACGGCCTTCTCACTGGTCCCGCTCCCAATCCGGCCACCGCCAGTTTATTTTCCCAAGAAAGCAAACTTCTTAAGACAGATTCCTGGTCACTTTGCTCCCCAGCTTAGCATCCTTCACTGGTTCCTCATCACCCCAGGATGAAACCCAAGTCCCTTGAAAAGCCTACAGGGCCCTGTGGGATGGGACCCCTGTCTGACCTTCCTGCATTATCATGTTCCAGTCCTCTGTGCAACGTGCACACACATGCCCACTCTTACCCATACCTCCAGCACCCAAACCACACCCAACTCAGGCCGTCCTCCACCTCAGGGCCTTTGCACATGCTGTGCCCTCACCTGGAGCACTCCCCCTCTTGTCTCAGTGTGGGTGTTGCCTCCCTGGAGCTAAGCCAGGCCTCCTTCCCCTGGTCCCTGTGCTTTTCCCCGTCCCAACACCCACTCCCCTGTGTTGACATCGTTTTGCTCACTACTTTGCCCCTAGACTGCAGACTGTCTGAGGGCAGGACTGCATCTCTCCTGCCCCCACCTTCCCCTCGGGGCTTGGGGCAGAGCAGGCACTCAAAATTGAGAGGATGAAGACTGTGTATCTTCTACCTCCCCGCTCTCTTTGCGGTGGCTGCCAGGCCCCCAGGGGCGATGACAGGCCAGGACTACTGGGATAGCAGAAACCTTCCAGGGAGTGACGGATGGAGCAGCGGGCACTCGGCTCTTCCCGCTGGTGCACGAGCCTGCAGAGCGGATGTTTGTGGTGATTCCAATTATGCTCCAGTTGATGGAGTGAGTTATGCTGGTGATGGCCATCCTGCCCATTGGGACTGAGTCAATTTAGTGAGAATTAATTACAGGTGAGAAAGCAGCTTGCAAAGCAGTTAATATCTAAGCTCCCTGGAGTGTGATACACATGCAGCCATCAGCCTTGTCTTTGCTTGTCCTCTCCCCCCTCCCCGTCCACCCACTCCCTTGTGCTCGGATCTGGGCATCAGGGTGACCCGATTCAGGTCTTGGCTCCCCCGTGACTCAGTCTCCTTTTCTGTCAAATAAGGGTCCTGCAGTCCATCAATCAGCAAGCGTTATAAAACTCTTCTGTGTCACATACTCTTCAGGACTTCAAAAACATGGGAGGCCACAGGCAAGCAGTGGCTCTGCTCTGAAGATGTCATGTCTAAAACAGAACCATTACTGCCATGGGGTAGCGCTTCACAGTTTACAAAGCAGTTTTAACCATCAGTATGAGCCTCTCAGGAGCCTTGTGTGATGTGTACCTGGTGGTACTGGTAACCCCATTTTACAGGTGAGGAAACTGAGGCACAGATAGATTGACAGCTTGCCTGGGATCCCTTCTGGGGTAGCTGGGCTGGAACCTGGCAAGGACCGGAGAGGGAGTGTGCAGAAAGTCCTCTCTCAACCGCTGCCCAGCAGGAGGCGTTACCGGCCTCATCAGCATGTTTTCTCTCTTTCTGTGGGATGCCAGGGCTGAGAAGACCTGCGGGGCTGGAGGCTGCGTCCTGATAAACACCTCGACTCACCGGGAAAGAGTGGGAGGGTCAGGAGAGACCCCTGGGCCAGCAGGGAAACCTCTGCTCCAGGTTCAGAATGACCCGTGTCCAGAGCCAGCTGTGGGCAGAAATAAGAGTAAAGCACCACCCCCCGCAGTGGGCCGGCCACCCCCACCCAGCTGCCCTCTCGCTGTCGTCCACACTCTCTCCGCCCTCTGAGACATGCTTTCAGGAAAGGCTCTGGTAGCGCAGGTGCAGTGGGATTCAGTTTCTGATTCTGGCTCAAGCCTGTGGCCTCCACTTAAGGACACACGTGCTTTCTGCAAAGAGAACCCACTTACTAGTTCAAGACCCAGCCCCCCAGGCTGACCTTAGTGATGGGGTGGGGAAGGCCGGCCTCGGGCAGGAACTAGCTCATCCTCTGCCCCTGGGACTGCAGGCAGGGTGGCCGCCCTCCCCGTGTCCCCCGCGGTTCCCGGCAGAGCAGGCCGCAGTGGCAGGAGGTCGGCTTGGGACATGATGAGGTGTTCAGGAAGTGGAGACCTTCTTAACCTCCGCATCTGCCAAGCCATCTGGAGCACAGTGGCCTCTTTGCAGATGTGCTGGGGGCAGTGCCCTGAGGTCTCCGTCAGCCTCTGCCCCTCCCGTTCTGTCTCCCTCCCTCCATCAGTGCCCTCCCTCTGCTTTCTCATGTTTTCTTTCTTTCCCTTTCCTCCTTCCCCGCCTTCTGCCCCTGTTCCACCTCCCTGCCTCTCAGGCTCACTCCCTGTTCAGATGTGTATGTTAAGAGAGTGACAACTCTTAAGTCTCTAACAGTGAAACCTGTTCAGCAGTGGGATTAGCTGTCTTGCCCCGCAGTGAGCTCCCCGTCAGGGAGGCGGCTGAACAAGGCAGAGATCACCCTTCCTGAGTGTTGTCAAGGGGCCTTGGCCTCCTGGATGTGGCCTGGCCCGTGACTTCTGATGCGGAGCTCCCCTGATGTGCACTGCTCACTGTTCAGGGCGGTTTCAGGATCCCATGTATTTAAGATTGGGCCTCCTGCAGGTGCATTTGAAGATCAGGTACTTCTGTTGTGAGAAAGAAGTCTTAACACTCTTCATAATTTTAATACTTATTAAATTTACTTTAATTTTTAAAGCACTGAATCATGCAGAAATTTTAGAAAACAGAGGCAAGAAGGAAAAAAGTCAGTCCTAATTCCATGCCCCTGACACTGCACTGTTCACATTTTATTCCATTTCCTTTTAGCTTTTCTTGGTTCACTTTTTACACAACTGTGTTCGGGTGGGGGCACAGCTTTGTACCCCCCGCATATCTTGGCACTACACGTGAGTGTTTTTCCAGTCGCCGTCCTCACCATTTCCACGCTCGGGAGCGGGTGCCTGTGATTTCTGTAGACTGTGCTGTGAAGTAGGGTGGCCTGTGAACCTCTTCAAAGATGGATACTTGTAAAGCAAGAGCTTTATATTTCTTCCGGGAAGAAATTACCCAACCTCTTAGCCATCTGGTAAAAAAATGTGCAGCCAGGTTCCCACAAGGAAGGGGAGAAATGACCGTGCTTTCAACCCTACTTCGTGCCAGGAGCTGTGTGGGGGCTCTGGCCGTCGGGTACCTGTAATCAGCAGGAGCGTGCTGTCACCCTTGTTTCACAGGGTCTGAGACGCTGCTGTGAGGCCCCGTGTCCTGGTCTGCATGGAGGCCAGGCCTCCAAAGCCGCAGGGGAGCTGCCGGGAAGGGGGACCTGTGCTCAGTCCTATCGACCCGTGTGTAACTGGTCTTTCGGGGCTTCAGGATTTCCACGGAGCTGTCTTGAGGACCTTGGATGAGATGGACCAAGAGGGCAAGGACACGTTGGCCAGGGAGGAGCTGAGACGTGGCCTGAGTGAACTCCCAGCCATCTGCGACCTTCACCAGGGGATCCTGGAGGAGCTGGAGGAGAGGCTGGTGCACTGGTGAGTGGCCCCTGGACCCCCTCCACCCGCCTCCTCGCGCTCTGGGGAATTGGAGAGAGGTGTCAGAACCCTACCCCCACGTGTCTCCTCCATTTGACTGACGGGGAAGCCAAGACACCAAAGTGCTGGGTCGTCGGCCCGAAGTAAAACAACTGTGGGAGGGTCGGCCCGGGACCCCCACTGGGGATGCAGTGCCAGCCCCCACTGTCTAACACGGGGTGGTCACAGGCTGGTTCTCACTGTCCTGTCCCCGCCTCCCCCTTGGCTGCAGGGAGAGCCAGCAGAAGGTGGCTGACGTCTTCCTGGCCCGGGAGCAGGGGTTTGAGCACCACGCCGCTCACATCCTGCAGTTCGACAGGTACCTGAGTCTGCTTGGCGAGAGCTGCCTGCAGTCCCCACGCCTGGCAGCTGCCGTCCGGGAGTTTGAGGTGGGTCCCTTGGTCCTCCACAAACCCACTCTAAGGATGCAGGGGTGTGGGTCAGCACGGGGGGGCTGAATGCAGATCAGTGGGGCTTCTTAGTAGGCCTGAGGCTGGGGCCAGAGGGGCCGCCCTGGGAGGGTGGGGGTGACCCAGCAGGGGGAAGAACCTACAACATCCCCCTTTGGGCCATCGGTGACAACTTGGTGAGCCCCAGGCATGGCCTCAGCCATGAGGAGGGTTTTAGTGGCCATTCTCCTGTCCCCATAGAGAAGCACAAAGCAAGCTGGGGCCCCAGCCATGGGAGTGGCCAACAGAGGGCCACCAACTGGGGATCCAGTTATTGGGCAGCCAGATCAAGGACTTTCTTCTGTCACTGACACTAGATGCAAAGCGGGGGCTGGGAGAGACGTGCTGCTGAGTGTAGCACAGTCTGCGAGCCCGAAGGAATGACCTGTCACGTGCGGCCGGGCGGTGCTAACCTGGAGAGGGGGCCTGGCTTTGGAGACGGGGAGGTGCTCAGCCTGGAGGAGGTGCTGATGGACAGTGGGGGGGGCGCCGGAGCCCTGTGGCTGGGTCTCATGGAGTTCTGTTCTGCTCGTCCCTTGGGAGCAGCGGAGTCAGCAGGGGGGCGGCCAGAACGTGAAGCACCGGCTGCTGAGGGTGGTTCGGCGCCTGTTCCAGTACCAGGTCCTCCTCACAGGTGGGCTGCGCGCGGGGTTGAGGCGCACCGAGGTGGTGCGGGGAGGAGGGCTCCTGCCGGGGGGCGGGGCAGTCCGGGCGAGCTGTGCCGTCACACCTCCTCCCACTGAGACGGGAAGGGCCAGGGAGGCGGCCCCCTGCCTGGCCAGCACCTTCCCTCTGGCTGGGCCTCGGACCCCCTGCTGCCACGTGGAAACCTGCCCAGTGGCCACCTCCTGTGTCTCCCTTCAGCCTCTCCCACCCTAACGCACAGGAACTCACAGCTTCCCTGGTTCTTTCTGCGTGTCCCCCCGTCTCAGTGGGTCTCATTCCCCCAAAGCCGTTGTTATCCCCGGAGCCCTCCTGAGTCAGTGGACGTTTGCCCCCTCCGACCTGCTGGCCCTCTCTGTGGCTTTGCCACTGACCACTTCCTGCTTCTCAGAGCCCTTTCCTCTTGGCGCTTCTGTGGTTTCCTCTCTCCCTGCCTCCCTCCGACCTCTCTGACCGCTCCCTCTCCGCCTCTACTGGCCACCTCTCCTCTCTGCGGGCCCATAAATGTCAGTGTTTCTCGGGGCTCAGTCCCAGGTCCTCTTTTCTTCTTTCTCCACGAACTCTCCCATGGGAATGTCATCCCCTCTGCTCCCTCCACCTGCCAGGACACCCTTACCTCTGTCCTGAGCATCTGCCTCCCGAGTGGGCAGAGACCCCTGGCCTAGGAGCTGATGCTTCGGTGCAGAGGCAGCACCCGCACTTAAAGGCATGCACATAACTCCTGGGAGCGGTCAGGCTGTGAGAACAGACGTTCAGGCCGGGGGCAGAGAACTGATCCGCCCGTTAATCATTCAGCGTTAATTCAACAGGTGCTCATTAGGCCTCTCCCATGTGCTGGGCCCTGGGCTAGGTGCTGGAGCGGTAGAAGTGAAGCAAGCAGTCAAAGTCTGTGATGCTGCGGAGCTTTTGCTCAAACAAATAAGGAAATGAAAGTGTAGTATGTCCGTGATAAGAGCTCTAAAGAAAAATAAAGCAGATTAAGGACTTAGAGGAGAACCTGGCTGCTGTAGTAGACACAGCACTCAGGGAAGACCTCTCCGAGGAGGTGACGTTGAACAGAGATCTTAGTGAAGTGAGGGCGTGAGCGGTATGGAGAGCTGGAAGAAGAAAGCACCAGGTAGAGGGGTAGTGAGTGCAAAGGCCCCGGGGTAGGAGCGAGCTCTGCATATTTAAGAACGAGTGAGAATGCCAACACTGCCCGGTGAAGGGTGATGTGGAGGGGCAGCGGGAGCGAGACCAGCCCGTGTAGAGCCCTGCGGTGTGCACATGTGGAAGGTCTAACATCACGCTCTACCAGGTCGGTGGTGACGTGCCTCCTCCAGCAGACTGCGTGCCTCTTGGAGGCAGGTTTCATCTTCGCATCTGTATCCCAAAGGTGTATCGCAGTCCCAGGCACACAACAGGCGCTTTGTCAATGTTTGTTGAATGACTGAATGACTGGCAGTGGTGGCCATGATGCTGTGGTGATCCCAGGGGCTTGGTGTGCTCATGTGTTGCTGTGATGGGGCAAACAGGAGGGGTGGGGACACCCCATTCTTCTGGAACTTTCCTTCCATCTCTGGAGAGAAGGCTCTTGCTATGGACAGGAGGGGCTGGCCTCCCCAGGACACACTGACTCCTGCTCTTGCTCACTCCACAGACTATTTAAACAACCTGTGCCCGGACTCGGCCGAGTACGATAACACACAGGGTGAGTCCAGCGTGACCTCAGAGCCCCTCTTCCCTGACTCCAGACTCTACCCAGGTCCCAGGTGCCCGGCACGGCCCCCTCCCCACCAGCTGGGGGTGCAGGCTTCTGAGATGACCCCTCTTCACCCCAGCCACAGAGACTCCCCGGGAAGGGCTGACATCCAGTCAGGGGAGGAGAAGGGGTGACCAGAATTTGGTGATAGGAGGTGGGGCCAGGTCTGAAGCACTCACCCCAGACTCCCGGTTTCCTCCTGGTTCTGCGTAGCTGTCCCTGCATGTGACCTGCCAGGGCTGTCCCTATTTTAACATTCCATGTAAAGCCAGGGGAGCTGAGGCACAGAGCGGTCCTGTCACGTCGAGGTCACTTAGGCAGCAATGGCTGAGCTGGGACTGGGCCTGTGACCTGACCCAGCATGGGAAGGCTTGGTGCTTCCCATATACAAGGCCCTGTGACTGCAGCGGGGACATCAGGGGAGGGGCAGCCGACAGGGAAGAGGTGAGAATGGGGCAGTGAGACCGGCTCTCCCCAGAAGGCCCCGTGCTCTGCTCTGCTTCTCTCCGCAGGTGCGCTGACCCTTGTCTCCAAAGTCACAGACCGCGCCAATGACAGCATGGAACAAGGGGTAAGTCCGGCCCTGGGCACCTTCCCTCAGGTGCGGGCCCAGGAGCCCCGCACCCTGCCTGGGGCTGCCTTGTGTCTTGGGGAGGGGGCAGTGCGGGCAACCATGTGTCTCGTGGGATCGTGCAGAGAGCCTTGGTTCTGGCCCTGACACTTGCTGTATGACCCCAGGTCCTGTGTGTCCCTCTCTGGGTCTCCAGGTCATCATTTGAGTGATGAGGGAGGCTGCAAACTTGCACAGACACGGTTCTGATGCCCCGACTGTGGTCTGAGGCCATCTGCATCTGCACCTGGAATGCTCTTTGAACTACAGATTCCTAGGCAGGCCTTCGATCTTCCCAGTGGCACTTCTGGGGGTGGGGTCCAGAGACAGACATTTTTTACGAGCACCCCAGGTGATGTTTTGCCCACAAAAGTTTGAGAGCTGTTCATCCAGGGGAACACGGGAGCTCTAAGCACACACACAGTTCTGACAGGGAGCAACTGCTTTCGGGAGACACCAATCAGATATTATTGGGTTTCTGTCCAGGATGGCCAGCTTTATCCCACATCCTATCTCTGTTCCAGTGGTTTCCACGGTTACTCGTGTCCATGTATTTTCTGCTCCACTGAGATGTGAACGGGTTAGAGCTGTGTGTTGAGAATGATCCTGAGGCCAAGTCCTAGCTCTGTGGGAGAGAGTTCAGGGATCAGCTGGTGATACCTTGCACGGGCAGAGACGGGAGGGACGGTGGAATGTGTGCCGAGCAGTTGCTCAGCTTTGCTGTGGCAGAGGCACAGAGCGTGCTTGTAGTGAACCATCCGCAGGCAGAGAGAGTGGAAGGGAAATCACTTCTGTGGGACACCTGCTGTGTGTCAGATCTTGTGCCGGGGGTGGAGGTGCAGACAGAAGGCGTGAATCCCAGGCCTGGAGGAAGTCACAGCTTTGTGGAGCAGCAAACATGAGGACATGAAGGACCATGATGGAGGAGAGGAAGAAAGTGCCCCAAGGTTCAGAGAAGGGAGACGTTTCTCCAGCGGGGACTGAGAGATGTGGGAAGAGATGGTGCAGGAGTGCCCCCACACGGAGGGCTGTGCACCTACCGAGAAGGCAGAGGGAGGGGAGGTGGTCCCGGAGGAGGGCCTGGCCTGGGCACGGGCCTGGAGATGGGGAAGAGGGGGGATGTCAGAGTTCAGAGGGCCACCCGCAGTGGCTGGGAGATGGGAACAGCGTGGGCGTGGTTGGACCAGAGTCTAGGGAGAGAGGGCGCTGGTGGAGGGTGTGTACCACTCAGTGTGAATACCCAGCAGGTCAGACACGCCACTGTCATCAGGCCAGTCCACGAGCTCCCTGCACTTTGTCACTTTGGCATCTTGTGCGTACAGTGAGATTTCTCTCAGTGCAGCCAAAAACCAGAGGTGCTTTGGAGCCGGCGCCTTGTCACGGCACGGCAGCAGACGGCTGGGCTCTCCACACTTCCCTGTGGTGAGCGAAGCCTCTGCCTCCACGAGGAACAGCTAGGTCAGGAAGGGCTGCGTCGCCCCTCCTGCCACAAGCTCCTGTGCGCAGCGCCCTCCTGAAGCAGGAGCTGAAGTAGCCCACGGCTGCACGCCCTCCTGGCCTTGTCCAAGGGCCAGGCTGGCTGCTGCGCCAGGATGCACAGGCCGGCTCTTGTCTCCCCAGCTGCCGGTGGGCGCCACACCAGGTCTGCTCGGGGCCTGGGGCCTTTGCCTCCCGCTTGCTGGGGCGGGGCTAGGACTCTTCCCAGATAAGCCCAACCCTGAGGCAGAGCTCAGTGGTGTGAGTATTCCTGAAGGATGGGCTGGGCTCTGTCTCTGCTCCCACCCTACTCCAGCCACTTCCCAACTCAGGCTCCCTCACCTCCCAGCCCTGCCATCCCATTCTCCATCTGGCAGCCAGAGTGATCCTGTTAAAATACATCTACTGGTACCAGTCCCCCCGTTTGCAGTCTTCCATGCATCCACATGGCCTTGAGTGGAATCTGGAAAGTACTTATTGATCATGAGGACCAGGGAAGGCTTCCTGGAGGAGGCAACGTTCATTTGCGGTTTATGCTCACATTGAACCATTCCCACAATTCCTCACAAAAGTCATAGCTGGAGGTACGACGTCTAGGCAGAGCCAGATTTCACCATCAGACCGATTCAGAATGGGACCCACATACCACCCAACACCCAGTCTGAGGTGCCACATCCCCTCCTCCCCCCAGGCCCTGACTACCTCCATCCTGCTTTCTGAATAGAGTTCATTTTTTAGTGTTTTAGAACACTTTTAAATTTACAGAAGAAATTAAAATAATACAGAGAATTCCCATGTATTCCACACAATTTCCAGTTACTAACATCTTACATTAGTATGGTGCAGTTGTTGCGTTGAAGAACCAATACTGACATGGTATTGTTAACTAAAGACTGTAGTTCATTCGGATATCCTGAATTTTTGCCTGATGTTTGCTCCAGGTTTCCATCCAGGCTGTCACATCGCATTTAGGTGCTGCGTTTCCTTAGGCTCCTCTTGACTGGGAGTTTCTTTGATTTTGACGACCTTGACGGTTTTGAAGAAGGCTGGTCAGGTGGGGTGTAGGGTGCCCTCTGCTGGAATTTCTCCAATGCTTTTCTCCTTATTAGACTAGGTTTATACTTTGAGGGGAGGAAGATCACTGAAAGTACTACTTTCGTCACATCGTGTGAAGGGTACATACCGGCAACGTGATTTATGACCGTCGGTGTTGACCTTGACCGCCTGGCCAAGGTCATGTTTGTCAGATTTCTCCACTGTAAAATTACCTCCCACCTGCCCTGTCCATCCTCTTTGGAGGAAAGTCAATGTGCACAGCCCTGTCCTTGAGGGCAGTGTCTACCTAAATTATTTGGAACTCTTCTGCAAGGGAGATTTGTCTCTTCTCCCTCATTTATTAATGTATCCAGTAATTATTAATAAATAAGTTATACCAGTAAGGACTGATGGATATCTATGTTATGTTTGGGTTATAATCCCATCTACTTAATTTTATTTCTCAAATTGTTCCAGCTTTGGCCACTGGGAGACTGACCAGTTCATTTCTGTGCCCCTTTCACATACGCCCATTAGTGTGGGTTTGGGTGGGGATTTTTATTTTGTTTAGTTATTTTTTGAGAACTTCCTTACCTCCTGGAACTATAAGATGCTCCAGACTCATGTATATTTCCTACCCCAGTCTTAGAATCAGCCATTTCTCCAAGGAGCTCTGGTTCCTTTAATTGGATGATGGTATTAGAAACCAAGATCTGGGTATCAGGTATGCTCATTGCTCCTGGGGTGGCATTTCTTCTAGGTTCTTCTAGCTACAGAGCACAGAAATATATCTATATCTATTTCTATACATAACCATCTGCATCTGTAAGGTAAATATGAGTTCTAACTGGTATCTTCAGTTCTTATCATACCAGCCTCCTCCCCTGGCTTGTCTGTAAATTTCCACTCCAACAGGGAGAAACCTGGCTCCACCATCCAACATCCATTTACTTAATTGATCGATTTATCTACCTTCTTAAAAATATTTTTCCTGGGTTTGGAGATCTGGGTTGACCAATATTTTCTTTCACTGCTTTAAAGATGCCACTCCACTGTCTTATGGCCCGCATAGTATCTGATAAGAAATCAGCCATTTTTCCGTTTCTCCTCCTTATGTGATGTGTCCCTTTTTTTCTGGCTGCCTTCCAGATCTTCTCTTTACATTTGACTTCTAGAGGTTTGACTATGATGTCTGAATACGTGTGTTTTTAGTGGGGGTGGGTGGCATTTATCCTGCTGTGATTCTTGAGCCTCCTGGATCTGTGGTTTGTTGTTGTTCACCAATTTTGGAAAACTCTCTTGGATGCTCTGCTGCTGCTGCTGTTTTTGTTTTTCCCCACACTCTTTTCTTCTCTTTGTGTTTCGGTTTGGTTTATCTCAGCTTACTATCTCCATATTCATTCATCCTTTCCTCAGCTGTGTTCAGTTTGCTGCTAAGTCTGTCAAAGGAATTCTTCATTTCTGATACCACATTTCTTATTTTTCACATTTCCATTTGATTCTTTTGTATAGTTTCCATCTCTGCTGAAACTCCATCTGTTCATGCATGCTGTCCACCTTTTCCACTAGCTCCTTTAACATTTTAATCATAGTGACTCTAATGTGCTTGTCTGATGGTGCCAGCATCTGTGTCACCTCACATTCTGGTTTTCTTGAATGCTTTGTCTGCTGAAAATCAGTTGGGGTTCTCTTTTGCCTCTTGTGTGTTTCTCGTAGTGTCTGAATACCAGAGCTCATGTGTAGAGGAACTGAGGGAAGTGGTATCTACCCCCAGAAGTGGGCATGCCTCTTTTTCGGTCATGCCGTTCGTGTCGAGGGTGGGAGTTGCATCAGTCCAGTCAGCAGTTGAGCGGGGTTTGGGTTTCGTTGTCACCATCGTCACCTTCAGAGCCCCGCAGACTTCATGCTCCTCCAGAAGGGGGTTGCCATTGCCTAATGCTATTTGTAGGGGCCTGAGGTGCCAGAGAGTCTTCCTCATATTCCTACTCCATCCTCAGCTTTTAGCAATCCGTGCACCACAGAAGGGATCTCTGTGTGTTCTTGCCCCTTCTCAGAGGTAGACTGCTGGCTCCTGTTGCTCAGTCTTAAGTAGAGCCTCCGAGCCTGGCTCTGCCAGCATTCCCGTCCCTCCCCTGCAAGGCAGCTGAACTATGACACGCGTCTGGCAGGTCTTGGAACGGTTTCTGCTTTGTGTTGGTGCACGATCCTGGGCCCAAGAGGTTGGCTCTCTCAACTTGGGGTAGATAGCTGTGACTTCGGCCTTTTCCCCAGAAGCAGTGAATGGCTCTTTGCCTGGGCTCTGGGAGGGGGTGTTGCCTCGCCTTCCCTAGGGGCCGAAGGGTTTTATAGGAGAGAGGGGCCTGGGGAAGTAGGCAGGTTTTTGTGCCAGCCCCGCAATGACAGCCTGCATGCCTTCACCACCAAGGAGGGGTTCTCTCTGGCCCCCAGCCTTCCTTGTAAACACCTGGCAGAAGCTCCTGCAAGTTCCCCTTGTGTCTGAGCTCCCTGTTATTCTAAACGGTCCCACCAGCCCACCCCGACCTTTAAGAAGCCACTAACATGTTAGCCGCTTTCTGCCCACCCTCCGCGTGCTGCCAGAGGTGCAGTAGCTCATACACTCTCTCGTGTGTCCGTAGAGGGGCTGGTCTGTCTGTGGGATTCAGTTCACTTGGTGGCCTTGGGAGCCCAGCTCTCCAACTGGCATAAGGAGACCTACGATTTCGTAGGAGCTCTGGCTTTTTCTCTGTTCAGGTGGGGGCCTTGTCCTCCCACTGCTCTTCTGTCGTAAGTGGAAGTGGAACAACTTTCATACATTTCTAATGTGTTGGATTTTATGCCCTAAACTAGGGATGGTGCAAAGGCTTTTTCAAGGCATTTTCTCTACACACGATTTTCACCTTGTTTGTTAACTTTAGTTCCAACCCTGCATAAGGTTTTGGGGCACCTGCCCCATGGTTTAGGTGCTCGTTATTTGCAGTATTATGGGGTGGTGTGCCCAGGGGAGGGAGGCCTGTCCCTTCATGTATTGGGGATGCCCAGTGAGGGACTGACAAGGAGCTCCCGTGCACACTTGCTTTTCTTCAGGGAGCCATTTCCTCCCCACGATGTGTTTTCTTGGCTTCCCTCCCTCAGACGTGCCCCCACCAAGGCTGCAGGCCCAGAGAGCCAGTCTGTCCACAGGCACCTGTCACCTGTGGGCTTTTGAAGTCTGGATGCTCCAGGCCTTTCAGGGGACTCGGGCTAGAGTAGGAGCAGTGGCCGGCAGACAAGCAGCAAGGCCAAGTGACCACCCCTGTGGCGTACAGAGAGCTGGTGGTGTCCGGCCCCAGGCCCGGAGGGACTAGCCAACCGTGGGCAGCCCACAAGCTTGGCGTCCTGCTGACCGGGCTCAGTTCCCAGTCCTGCCACCGACAGGAGGTCGGACAGGGGGCGAGGCCCTCTGGGCTCCGTTTCCTCCTCTGACGAGGAAGCAGTGCCACTCCTTACAGAGCAGACAAGGGGCCCTGAGCATCTCCCCCCCACTGCCTGCTCCCACCCACAGGAAAACCTGCAGAAGCTGGTCCACATAGAGCACAGCGTTCGGGGCCAAGGGGATCTCCTCCAGCCAGGAAGGGTGAGTGCCACCCGCCAGGGGCAGGGGCAGAGGGCGGCCCGGCAGGCAGGCAGGCGGGCAAGGCCCTGATAAGCACCATTGTTCAGCTGGGCTGGCCCCATACAGGCCGGGCTGCAGGTGCTGCACCGGGGAGGGAGGTGGGTGGGGTGCGGGCTCTGTTGGGCTCCCCAGGCCCCCGGCTGCCACCCCTGGGCTTTTCCACTCTCAGGGCCTTTAAAGGAGCAGTGCCACTTGAGTTCAGTGTTCCCTGGGGCCTTGTCACCTCTGAGAAGAAGAGACACCAAGTGTTCTTAGTTTAGTTCAGCATTGCTGGGAAATCAGGGGAACCATCTCTCAGGAGTCCCAACAAAGCATTTTAAAAATTACATTTTTCAAGAGACAAATTTACCCACTTTAAAGCTTCCAAATGGAAAGCATAAAACTCAGCTCAAAAATAGTCAGAAAACATTTTTATGCAGTGAAAACTGTGTTTGTTACCTATTACAGTCCATAAAGGGCAAGAAGCAGAAGAGTGAGAGATTGTGCTCGGGAGATTTTATTCGACACTGGCAAGGATTTACTGGTCTGAGAGTCTGTAAAATCACACCTAGGGGTTTGGCCTGGGTCTGGAGCTCAGTGAATATTTATTAAACACCTGTCTCTATCCTCCAGAATGAAGGGGGCTATAGTAGCAACTGTTCACGGGTTTGCATCTATTTTAGCAAACTTTCAGAGGCTCTTCTCTGACTGGACCCCTTGTGGTGGCAAACCAAGGGGCGAGTCGCTGTTTGGACCGCTCTGGCTGGAACAGTGCTAGATCTTGGTGTAATTCAGGGCGGGTGATCCTGCAAGGCCAGATGCCTGTCTCCAGAGCTGCTCTTCCGAGCACAGACCACCTCTCCTACGCTGGGAATTCTCCCATCAGCCGCCCTGGAACCCTGGACCATAAATTGAGTTTTCCACTCAAAGGCCTCCCACCACCCTTCTCCAGGACAGTAGGGGGCATCAGCCTGACCCCCGAGGTCTGCTTCTGCCCCCACAGGAGTTTCTGAAGGAAGGGACGCTGATGAAAGTAACAGGGAAAAACAGACGGCCACGGCACCTGTTTCTGGTAAGTACCTGGCCCCCGACCAGGCGCTGGGGACTGTCCAGTTCTGCGCAGTGTTCTGGGGCCGGTATTCAAGGACGTCTGGAAGGGAGGGAGGAGGACTAGCCCAGAGCCGAATCCTTAGCAGGAGGGTCATTCTGTACAGCCGAGCTTTCCAGAAAGCTGAGAGCTTGACCCTTGGAAGCCACAACCATCCCTCACGTATTATTTGAATGATTTTGAGTGGAATGTTGCCAAATTTTAATGATCCATGTGCCCGTCTGAAGTATCCTAAAACTGGGAAGTCCTTAAACTGGGAATGACTGTTAACTGCCTTATCCAACACGTAAGGGGAGTTGACGTGGCGGATCTCCCAGCAGGTGGGAGGCAGAGGCCCCGAGGGAACCAGGGTTTGACCCGAGCCACAGCCTTTCTCCACAGAGCACAAGGCGGGCTATGGTGTAACATTTCTGGTGATTTACAGCCACAGCCTGGAACCGCAGGGAGTGACCAGGCCTGTGATGTAGCGACAGCCACCTCAGAGGCTGCTGAGCGGCAGGTGGCTCTTTGCCCCAGTCCTGAGACACTTTGCCATTTAAATTCTCCCTGCTCCTTCCCCGTGAGCTGTCACTTACTGTTACTGTCAGTCGTGGCTGCCTCCTTACACTTTGCTGGAGTGGTGTGCAAAGTGAAAGCAGGGCGGCTCTGATCCGGTGTCCAGGGCCTCTCTGTGCAGACATGTACTGAGCTGGCACCTCCTGCATGCTGGGCACTGGGAACCAAGAGATGAATGTCACGTGCCCTGGCCTCCTCCCCCCGCACCTGTTGTAAAGACTGAGTTATAAGAATGGTGGGGGCAGAATCTCGGAGCCGGGGAAGCAAAGCAGAGGATGCAGGAGCGGCAGGGAACAGAAAGCGGAGAGGCCCAGCGGCGGCTGACATCAAGTGTTTACTGGGTGCTCTGCGCTGTGCTGAGTGTGTCGTGTGTTTCCTGGAGAAAATGGTACCCGAGTTAAGTCCGCAAGGAAGGATAAGAGTTTGTCAGGTGCACGAAGGAAGGGCGTTTCAGGAGCGGGAACAGCATGAGCAAAGAGTAGAGGCGTGAGGAGCTCGGTGTGTTGGGAGGAGCTCTGTGGGTCTCGTGGAATCACTGGCTGCAGGTGGGCTCTTCCGCTCCCCAGGGGGGTCTACACCGGGGCTCAGCCACTTGGGGCTGAATCCCGGGGAGAGCTCATGGTCTGGAGAAGGGGATCCCGAGTCTGCAGCTGCCGGGCAGGTTAGCCGAGCTTGTGTCCCAAGGCCTCCACTGGGCTGCGTGGGTCAGTCTGCTCTGCACGGAGCACAGGTGGTCTGAGCTCAGGGGCTCCCCGCCCGCTGCTCCCTCCTAATAGCCACCCGTCACCTCCTTCGCCCTGGTCGGTGGTGCTGCGGTGCCCGGGGACATCTGGCTACAGGCAGAAGGAGCTAGGATCCCTGGGGAGCTTTGAGAGGGATCTGAGAGCCAACCACTGGATGCTCGGATTTGAGTTCTCAGAAGGGTCTTGAAGTCCCTGTAGATGCTTGAATCCCTTTCTCTCAGTAGTTTTTTGACCTCTGCTCACCGCCTGCTGTAACGTCACTCATTCTGCAGCTCCTGTCTGTCTCCTCCTGTGTCCCAGGATCTGTGTGGGGTGTGCAGGTGGGGCCTCCGCCCTGTTGTGGATCTTGGAGTCCAGTGAGGGAAGCCGTCCTTGTTCCATGTTAGAGTCTAATATTTGTTGAGAAGAAATGCACACCATGTGGGCGGGAATGAGGTGGGCTGAGCCGGTTAGATCCTCGCCAGACACTCAGCCCCTCTGCGGCCCTGACACAGTCACAGACGTGTCTGAGTCTCTGGTTTCCCACCAAGAAAGTGGAAATCCTAGGCAGTTTGGGGAATTGATTGAGAGGCCTCATGTGTCTGACGCATAAAAACCACTTATTTGATGAGAATTTCCACCCTTCCCTCTGAGGACCCACAGGACATGGGTCTCCACCCCAGGGCAGCCCCGTGGTGAGTTGGAGCCCACGACTGGGTCTCCTGAGTCCTTTCTTCTCCAGGATGGAAAGTGGGGAGGTCTGGGCTGGTAGCAAAGAGCATGGGCCTGGGAGTCAGACTGGGTTCGCATCCCAGCTCTGCTGCTTGCTGGCTGTGAGACTGCAGCAGACTGAGCTCCGTCTCCCCTCTGGCCGTGCCCCCCTTGTCCCTGTGCCTGTCACAGGGACATCAGATGCCAGGCAGAAACACAGTGTCACCATCTCCCCCTCCCCCACTCCCTCCCCCTCCTTCCCTCCCCACCCTCTCCTCCCCTCCCCTCTCTCCCTCCCCCGGGCTCCCTCCAGCATCAGTGTGGCCCCTCCCTGGAGCCTCTGTCTCACCCATGGACAATGAAAGGCCTGGTCTCTCCTTCCTCTTGTTGTTGGTCCGTAAGGCCCCCCCCCAGGTCTGAACCTGGGGCCCCTTCTTCTCTCTGCCTCAGGACAGGACCTCCCACCGAGTGGGTGTTAGTAGTTACCCCCTGGAGGGGTAGGTGGGCGGAGGATGGACAGACAGACAGGCTCCTGGGCCAGCAAGCACCATGGCAAATGTACTTAAGGAAGAACTTTTCTTCCTTCTCGCATGCTAATTTCATAAAATAACCTTAACAGAGATTATCATGAGCAAAGTCAGGGCATCTGCCCACAGCATGCAAGGGCCTCCGTGATGCTGGGGGGGGTTCCCACAGTGGCCCTGGTGTCCCCTCTGGCCCCAAGCGGTAGGTGGGGCTGCCCACTGGTGGCTCCTTATTGAGAGAAATTCGCCCTTACTCTTCCATGAGGAGCCCCTCTTCCTCCCTCCACGGGGCTGTAAACACGCTTTGAAGAGGACGGGAGGTCCGCGGGCAGTTGCAAGGCAGCGTGGTCCTGAACCACCCGGGGGTGCCTCGGGGGCTAATGCCGTTGCCATGGCAGCAGGGGCAGCCACAGAAAGGCTGGGGCCCTGTGGTGAGTGACACCAGCAGTTCCCCAGGGTGGGTGGGGCCTGGTCACCGTGCGGGCCCCCCCAGCACACCACCCTGGACACTCGTGGAGGCAGCCTCGTTGACTCGCGACCCTGGCTCTGCCACAGAGGAGCTTTGGGATCCTGGGAGGCTATCGAGCCAGCCTGTGCCTCAGTTTCTCCCTATGAGAAAGGAAGATGGTGACAACAGTGTCTGCCTTTTGTTAGCGGAGGCCTGTTGGAACCCCGCCTCACGCATTCTTTTATGATCGTCTGTGGCTGTTTTTAGGCTCCAGTGGCCCAGTTGAGCAGTTACGACAGAGACCGTCTGTCCCACAAAGACTGAAATATTTACTCTCTGGCCCTTGACCAAAAAAATTGCTGGACCTGGTCTACTCCAGCTCCATGTAGAGACAGGCCCAGAGAGAGGAAGGGTTTGCCTGAGGTCACACAGCAGCTCCGTGCCCAGGCCAGGTCTCGGCACCACCCTGGCCAGAAGGGCCGGTGGTGCGAAAACTCACCCCTTCTGCTTCCTCAGCAGACTCTGCAGGGAGACGAGGGTGAATCCCGAGTTCTCGTCCTGTTTCAGACCCCGAGATGCCTGTCCTGTCCCATCCCCAGGACACCCTGGTTTACGTTGGCTCCCGTGTGCCAGGGCTCGCCAGCGCCACTCAGTGTTCACAGTGCGGTGGGGGTGGGGATGTCCCCCACGTGGCAGGTGGGGTGGCTGAGGCTCAGAGAGGGAAGCGGCCTGTCCGTAGTCACACAGCTGCTGCAGAGCAGGGTCAGGATTGACGGCCCACAGCCCCACCCAGAGCGTGACGTTGGCTCTTCAAGCTATAAACCTCTCAGCCGAGCAGGAACACTCTCTTAGGGAGGTGAGGTGTCTTCGCTGGGCTCCTCCTGTCTGCCCTGCGCGGCAGCGGGCAGCTTCAGCTGTTCACTCAGCAGACAGTAGTGGGGCGCCTGCTATGTCACTGGAGGTCCAGCAGCTCCCTGTCCTCGGGGACCTGCCTCCCTCCCTCTCTCCCTCCTGCCCTTCCTTGGCTCTGCCTTACGGAGGCTTAATTTATAGAGAGTAAAATGCATCCGTTTTAAGTGTACGTGTCAGTGTGTGTTGACAATTGCACACCATCGTGGCACCACCACCGGGGTCGAGATCAGGGCACACCCAGCCCCCCAGCACGGTCCCGGTGAAGCAGCGTGCACCCCTCCGAGTCCGGCTTCTCTCACTCCGTGTGTGCTGGAGGTCCATCCCCGTCGTCCTGTGTGTCACTTGGTTCGCCTGGTGGCTGAGTGGCTGTGCTGAGCAGCGTGGCTGCACCACAGTTTGTGTGTCCCGTCACCTGCCGGTAGACATTTGGGCTGTGTCCCTTTTGGGCCTCTGTGAATGTTCCCAGACCTCACTTTTTGTGAATCTCCGCCTTTGCTCCTCTTGAGTGTCTGCGTCAGAGCGGGACTGTGGGGAAGCGGCTCACGTTTCAGCCCAGAGCGGCTTTGCTCTCCCGCGGGGGTCCCTGGGGATACAAGGGATCCTCAAGGACACGCCCATGCAGCCCTCCAGGGCCAAGTCATGTCTGACGGGTCCCCTCTCCCCAGATGAGCGATGTGCTCCTATACACGTATCCGCAGAAGGACGGGAAGTACCGGCTGAAGAACACGCTGGCGGTGGCCAGCATGAAGGTGGGTGCCCGGTGCGGGAGTCCGGGGTGGGCGGGGAGACCCCAGGGGAAGAGGAGACCCAGCAGCAGAGGAGCCGGAGCCCCATCATGTGAGTTAAAGCAGGTAATCCTGGGAGAGCGGGGTGAGGGAGGGCTTCCTGGAGGCAGGGGGCCGAGTCCCAGAGTGGATATTTGGGTAGAGCTTGAAGGAGAGAAGGAAGGGAGTCATAGGAGGAGGAAAAGGTATAGGAAAGGCTTGGAGGAAGGAAACAAGCAGGTGTTAATTTTTTAAGTGTGTTATAATACATATAATACAAAATTTACCATTTTAATCATTTTAAGTGTGCAGTTCAGTGGCACTAAGTACATTCACATTGTTGTGCAACCACCACCAGCATCCATCCCCAGAACTCTTCATCTTCCCAGACTGAAGCTCTGTCCCCATTAAACACTGACTCCTCTCTGTCCCCCTGACCCCCACCATCCTCCTTTCTGTCTCTATGGATTTAGTTAACTGTGGGACTGCCTGTGAGTGGAATCACACACTATTTGTCCTTTTGTGATGGGCTTGCTTCACTGAGCATAATGCCCTCAAGGTTCATCCTTGTGGTAGCAGGTGTCAGAATTTCCTTTTCAAGGCTGAGTAGTACTCCATCATATGTGGAGACCACACTTTGTGTACCTTTCATCCTTCCATGGACTGGGTTGTCTCCACCTTCTGGTGGCTGTGAATAATGCTGCTGTGAACGTGGAAGTACAGAGACCTGTTAAAGGGGGAAATGTTCCTTACGTGGGAGAGAGAGGCCAGCCCAGCTAGACAATCTCATGGGTGAGGTCGGAGAGGCAGGAAGGGCCGGGTTCTCTGTGACCAAGCTCAGTGTAACTTGGTCCCGAATACGGGGCCCTTGGGAGCTAATGGGGATTCGTGATGAGCAGGAAGTTTTAGAAAGTTAATTCTGGTGTAGTGTGGAGAGGTGGTCAGAGAGGGGACACAGGTGGGAGAACGGAGGGCGGAGGTGAGGGCGGAAGGAGCCTATAGAGGGCACCGCGGACCAAAGCTTCTGCTCAGGAGCCTGTTACAGAAGTGCTGCGGGAGGGTGGCCGCTGAGCAGGAGAGGTGCTGAGGGAGGGTGGCCGCTGAGCAGCGACTTGTCCCACACGATGGGCTCGAAGAGGGACGCTCACAGCCTTCTGAGGGGGACGGTGCAGAGTCAGAGTCACCCCCTCCTCCAGCACACAGCATCTGCCCAAAAGAAAGGCTTGCCCTTTATAGATGAGGAAGCTCTGGCTCAGGGAGGGGCAGTGGCAGGACCGGGAGAAGAATCCGGTCTGTGAGGCGCCCCCACTGCCCCCCCCTGAGGGCCGCTGTCGGTTTCCAGGTCAGCCGCCCGGTGATGGAGAAAGTGCCCTACGCCCTGAAGATCGAGACTTCCGAGTCCTGCCTGACTCTGTCTGCGAGGTATGGGGCTGGGGCGGGGGAGGATCTGGGGCAGGATTTTGACGATGGGAAAGTTTGGGACAACAGATGCTACACCTGTTACCATTTTCATTTCGGTATCCTTTTGGGTCAGAGGACTTCTGTTCTTTTCATCATGTCTTGTCCATTCTCGCGTTGCAGACCACTTTGAGAATCTGATAAATCTATGGCTTCTCTCCCCAGAAACAATGTGCATAACACATAAAACTTTACGTAGAATCTGAGGGGTTTCCAGAGTCCCTTGCTTAAATCTGACAATCACAATACCTCATGGCTGTAAAATCCTACAGATTATTGGGTCTTCACAGGAGTAAGAAAAGTTAAGGCCAGAGGAAAGTGCGTGGTGCAGCTCAGTTCATAAAGGGGTCTGCGTTTAGGCTGCCACGTCTGGAGAGAGAGAGAAAGATACGGGGTGAGCAGCCAGCACTGTGCTTTCCCTGTCTGAGGGTGAGGGCTTTCTATCAGGGACTGCTTTCCCCAGCCCTCAGGCTGCCCAGGGATCCGTCCTAGTCCTCCGTGGCTTCCCACAGAGAGGGAGCTCCCCCTCCCCTCTTCCAGGGCAAGCGTAGCTCCAGTCCCCGGAGCTCAGAAACGGGGGGGGGGGCTCCTGCCAGGGGCCGCTCTGGGCATGGGGGCGGGGGGCAGGGTTCCCTAGGTCTGTGTGTATTTCCTCCCAGCAGCATATGACAGGCGGCAGCAGGTCCCGTTGTGGGGTGGCCCTGGGCGTGGGACGGTACCCCGCCCTGGCGCACATTGTCTGGTGGATGCACTCACCCACTGAGCGTTTATTAGCTGCTCCCCAGTGTGCGGTCCTGTGCTGAAGACACAGACCATTTAAACCTTGGCTGACTTGGGAAGGGCCCACTTTATAGGCTGAGCTGTGAACCGGTTATATTGCGGAACGTAACTGCTGTAATAATTAGTAGTGGTGACAAAAGTGACATGCACTGGCACCTGCCAGGTGCCAGGTGTCTCCTCTGACCCTCACCACCACCTTGGAGGTGGGGTCTGCAGCTCCTCCCCTGCACAGGGAGTTGAGGCCTAGAGAGGTGTCCCCCATGAGCCATGTGAGGCAGAACTGAGGTTCAGACGCAGGACTGTGACCCAGGGCGCTTCTCCACTGCTGTCTCCTGCCTTGGAGATTCTAAGGAGTGACCACCCCATCTGGGGGAGTGAGGGAAGGCTTCCTGGAGGAGGTGATGTCTGGGTGGGGTTCTGTGGCCTCTCCTCTCCGGGTAAAATCAGGAGTGTAAGGAGGCTCAGGGTATGGTTCCTTTTGCCCAAACGTGAAACGAGGGTAGTGACAGGCCACGCTCAGCCCTTCAAGTGGGGCTGCCCTTTTCTCCTAGGCAGGAACACTGCCCTTTGGCCAAGTGGCCTCAAGGAGCCACTGTCACTGACAGGTCAGTCACCTTCCTGATAGCCCAGATGCTACACACTGAAGCTTCCAGGGGACCCATACACCTCCTTTTAGGGTCGCGCGGCATCTGGCTGCCCACCACCCTTCCTCCTAGGCCAAATCCTTCTCCCCGCAGAGTCTGCACACTTAGCGTGGGATGGGAGCGACACCTAGTGGGCCCTATGAGAATTTCTACCCCGCGGCCGCCCTTGGGCAGCTCAGCTGGGTGTGGCGCCCACCACTCAGGAGGGAGGTAAAGAAGTCTGCTTTCTGGATGAGTGAGTGTCAGGGAAGTTATTTGGGAAGATGAGGAGGAAGGTGGAGAGACTGGGGCCTTTGTCAGCATCTGTCTACCTCCCTTCCCTGTGATACCCTGCCCTCGGCCCCTACCAGCCCACACCCTAAAGCATGGGACCCTCTGAGCCTCCCTTATGCCCCTGGAACAGTGCTTTGCCATTGACAGAGTCCGTCCACACCCCACGGGTCCTTTCATCCCCACGGCAGCCCTGGGAGTTGAAGGGGTAGCGTTGGCATTCCCAGATTACAGGCGGGGCCCCGAGGACAGCTAACGTGCGGGGCTCCTGCTCATAGGTGGAGGGGCTGAGCTGCAAGCCGGGGCCGGCCTGGCAGGGGGCGGGTGCTGGATGGTGGGACTTCAGGTGCGGGAGGCTCAGCCGTGGGGGAGGGCGGGGTGGCGAGCACCCCGCCCACCCTGAGAGGGTGGGAGGCAGAGCCCCTGCGCCCTGGCCCACTCCAGCTCGCGCCCGCAGCTCCTGTGCGGAACGGGACGAGTGGCACAGCTGCCTGAGCAGAGCCCTCCCTGAGGACCACAAGGCCCGGGCTCTGGCCGCCTTCCAGCACAGCGTGGAGGTGAGTGGGGCGGCCCCGGGGTTCCAGGACGACTTGCATCTTCTTCCGTCAGGGCACTGGGTCCTCGTTCCGCCTGGCTCGAGCCATCATTGTGCCGCCTACAGCCTGGCACCTCCAGCTCTGTTTCTCCCTGGAGGACACAGAGGGGCTTGCACTAGTAGGCTCCACCCTGGGCCACAGACACACACCCCGCGCAGGACAGGGGGTGCCTGTCCAGCTGGTCTCCTGACGACGCTGCTCATCCGATTCCGTTGCTCCAGATACGCGAGAGGCTGGGGGTCAGCTTGGGAGAGAGGCCCCCCACCCTGGTGCCTGTCACACACGTGATGATGTGCATGAACTGCGGCTGCGACTTCTCCCTCACCCTGAGGCGGCACCACTGCCACGCCTGCGGCAAGGTGAGCCTCCCTCACGGGGAGCCCCTGCACCGAGGTGGCGCGGGGTGAGGGCTGAGGGGTGTCCAGCGGTGTGTCGGGCCCAGACTGGGGCGTGTTCACACCCACCCTGCAAAGTAGGGGTTGTTCATTCCCGTTTTACTGATATCCTCAAACTCAGACTCCAGATCCCAGGCCTGATCCACTACACCACCACGTGCTCAAAAGAAAATTGTAGCGTGCATGGTTCTTGTCCTGGGAGAAAAAATGTCACGTCATGGTTAGTGACACAGGCTCATCAGAAACACAGACAAGCTTACAGCATGGTGACAAGAGTTAGTAATATACTGTGTATTTGAAAATTGCTAAGAGAAAAGTAGATCTTGAAACTTTTCATCACAAGAAAAAAGAATAACTCTGTGTGGTGATGGGTGCTAACTAGACTTCTGGTGGTCGCTGCATCATACAGTTGCCCCCAGGTGTCCAGGGCAGGACTGGGTCAGGACCCCATGGATACCAAGCCCTGAGGATGCCGAGTCCCTTATGTGAGATGGTGTGGATTTGCATATAACCTACACAATCCTCCCATATGTTTTAAATCCTCTCTGGATCACTTATGATACCAAATACAATGTAAATGGTGTTTAAATTGCTATAAAGACCAAGTAAATTCTACATAAGTAGTTGCCAGCATACAGCAAATTCAAGTTTTGCTTTTGGAATTTTTTTTGAGTGTTTTTGATCTACAGTTGGTTGGATCCGTGGATGTGGAACCTGCAGATTCAGAGGCCCAGCCGTATATGTGTATATTGAATCACTGTGTTGTACACCTGAAACTAATGTAATGTTTTCTATCATTTATATCTCAATTTCTTCACAAAGGAAAACAGCTAAGCACTTTCACAGAAACATAGTGACTGTGCTCAGAACACGGGGTCCTGGAGGGGTGGGGGGCCAGCAGAGTGGGGGACGCGCCTCTCTGCACGTGCTGGGAGACTGAGACCCCCCCCCCGACACACGTACCCCCCACCTGCAGATCGTCTGCCGGAACTGCTCGCGGAACAAGTACCCTCTGAAGTACCTCAAGGACCGCATGGCCAAGGTCTGCGACGGCTGCTTCGGGGAGCTGAGGAAGAGGGGCGGGGACGTCCCAGGCCTGATGAGAGGTACCTGGGGCCACCCTCGCCCTGCTTCCCCTCCTGGCTTCTCCCCAGCCCCTGGCTCATGTCGGAAACCGCTTTCCTAGGGAGGCTCAGAATAAAAGTAGCCCTCAAGGAAGAAATAGGACCTAAAAGCCACATGGGGTGGGGGGGCACCATTTCCCGACGTGTTGGTTTTGTGGAAGATCCCTAAGTGCACCCGGAGGAAGGGTTCCCGGGGCAGCTCAGTTTGGGGAATGCTGGGTCCGTGCGTCTCTGTGACGAGGACAGTAGGCAGGCACTCACGTCTTCTTTGCCACAGCAGCCCTCTCTGCAGGCCTGTGTCCTGGGGGACCTTTTGGGGATAAGGATTGTGAGCCAGGTAGCAGGGGTGTTATGCAGGGAGGAGCCGGAGGAGCTGAGCTCAGGGACAGGCTTCCCCAGAGCAGGTGGACCCTGGGTCTAAGACCAAGGACTGCCCCTCCCTGTCCACCCCCCCACCAATGCCCAAGGCCATTGGGGAGGACAGCCCAGCCTCAGGGAGACATGGAGGAGGAGGGTCGGCACCTGAGAAAGCCTGCCCCACCCCTGCCCCCTGCCTTTGTGTCAGCAGAGGGGGTGTGCCCATCTCTCTGGCCACACTTAACCCCCAAGTGGGGCTGGTTCCCATCTCGGGGGTGGGGGGAGGTGGGAGCTCTGACCTCACGGGCACCGCGCGGACACTCACCCCTTCCCGTGGCCTGTCCCTCTGCAGAGCGGCCGGTGAGCATGAGCTTCCCCCTGTCCGCCCCCCGCTTCTCGAGCAGCGCCTTCTCGTCCGTCTTCCACAGCATCCACCCCTCGGCCTTCAAGAAGCAAAGGAAAGTCCCTTCAGCCCTGACCGAGGTGAGGCAGGTGGGGCTGCCTGCGTGGGAGGCAGGGGATTTGCAAGGCTCTCCATCCCCCTCAGGGGACAGGCTCGGACCCCCACCCCAGCCGGACCCAACTCTTCTGGGCAAGAGGATCCCTAATGGGACACATTCTGACTCCAGTAACACAGGCAGCTGTGAGGAACAGCCCTGCCTCCTGCACGTGGCCAAGAGGACGCCTGTCGAGGGCAGAGGACAGGGCCCAAGGGGCTGTAGGTGGTGCTGGGAGACATCGCTCCCCCTTCGGTCCCCCCAGCGCTTTCTTTTCCTCTTCCCCGTAGTCTTGGCTGGTGCCCAGGGTTACTGCCCAGATCGCTTGGGCACTCGGGACTAAAGCAGCCAGTCCTGCTCCATTCCCCCACGTCAGCCCCTCCCCGAGCTGCCCCCCCCCCCCGTCTGCCACCCTGGGGGGTGAGCTGTGGGACTCTTTACAGGAAACCTCAGCATTGGCCAAACTCGATTCTGTTCTGCAGATAGGACCAGAGTATGTCTGCATTGTAATCACAACCACAAACAAATGCGTGCCCGGGAATGTGCAAGCTGTCAGAAGAGTGATCAGATGTTTCTGAGTTTGTTCATTAATATTCATTATTGAGTAGCAGGTGGAAAGGGTTTAAAAAGTGTTAGAGGTGAAACATTAAAATGGGTACAGTGCTATCCATTAACTTACTTCCTTTTGCATATTGAAAATCTTGGAAATAACATGTGATAAAAATTTTTTTCAAAACCCCGAAGACTACATGATGAAAAGTGGGTTTCTCTCCCTCCCCCAGACTCCTTCAGTCCCACTTCGCAAAGGTAACCACCATGAAGTTTCATATGGATCCTTCCAGAAATGTTTATGATTATACATAATGGAGGCGGTCACAGATCCTTTTTTAACCCATAAGATGACATAATTATGTTGAATCTTCTGCATGTTTCTTGCACTTAATTTATCTTCGATATCATTATTTCACATTAGTTCATACACAGAAATGTCACACTTGTGACGTCATTTACTTAACTCTTCCCTTTCTGCAAACAGAAAAGTTCACCCTCCAACTCCCACCGTGGTGTCTCTGTGAGCTGAGAACCGGAGTATTCCACGGGCGCAGACTTTGAGAACCACTGTTCTTACCCTCTGACGTCAGGCCATTCTGATCCTGGTGCCGTGTGGATCTGCCCCAGCCATGTTGGCAATTTTTGCCCTAAGTGACAGCCTTTTTATTATTCAGCAGAGACCGCACCCTGAGCTCTCCGGCAGCCCCAGGGGGAATGTGCCTCCGGCTCCCGCCGCCTTCCCCCTCCCCCCTTGCTCCGCCTCAGCAGTAAGACCTGCTTCCCATGAGACGGTCTGCGGGATCGCTGCCCCCAGCACCTGGCAGGAAGGGATCGCACGCAGAGCGGGTTTCTCTCACGCGTTCTGTCCAGTCTGCCTTCCTCGCTCTGAGCTGCTCCAGCAGGTCAAGCGTGGGGAGAGCAGCCGTGTCTGGTGTCAGGAGTCCTGGGACCAGTGGGCGGGCAGGTTCCTTTCCTGGTACTTCTCAAAGCAGTCCAGCTGGCTGCAGCATCCTCTCCCTGCACTGAAGTTAGCTGCCTTCAGGGCATTTGCAGAGAGATCTGAGTTCGAACCCTGTCTTCAGCCACGTCGGGCTTCAACCTTGGGTAGGTCCCTCCATTCCTCTGGGCCTCAGTTTCCCCAACAGTGAAATGAGACAGTCAGACGAAATGATTTCAAAACCTGGCCTTCTTGCTCCAATAGGGGAATCAGTGTTTGTGGAGCCCTAACTGTGGGTCAGGCCCAGTACCTGACAGGTCTGTCCCACATCACTTACGTCCAGTTTTACTGGACGGACACGAGGCTTAGAGGCAGGAAGGAGCTTGCCTGACATGGCCCACGTAGTAGCTGGTGGAGCCCGGGTTGGAACCCGAGATTGGTGTTGCTCCAAGCCTGAGTTCTTAACCCCCAAGTAAAGCCTTTCCCACAGACAGCCACCACTACTGTTGATAGTAAGAGGCGTTAACAGATTCATTAGGCAGGAGATCATAGAACCTTTTAGGTAAACAGTATAGAAAAGATCCCTTTTTATTTTTTATTGGAGTATAGTTGATTTACACTGTTGTGTTAGTTTCAGGTATACAGCAAAGTGATTCAGTCATTCGTATACATGCATATATTCTTTTTCAGATTCTTTTCCATCCTAGGTTATTACAAGATATTGAATATAGTTCTCTGTGCTGTCCAGTAGGTCTCTGTTGTCTTAATCTGTTTTATAGTAGTGAGTGTCTGTTAAGAAGGATCTCTTCCTAATTATAAGAAAGAGGTAAGTTGAAAAGCTTAAGAATCAGTTTTGGAAAGAAGAAACGTTCCCCCGAGTATCTGTGGTTTTGTAACTTGAGGGCTTGGGGGCTGGGGGAGAGAACCAGGAATCTGCAGCCCCCCTGGGGCAGCACCCCTGCAGGCAGTTTTTGTTCCTGGTCCCGTCCATGCAGTCAGTCCAGTCTCTCAAACACGGTACTGTGTTGCTGCCTTCGAGGTGCTGGAGGGACCCTGAGTCCTCATCCAAGGCTCAGACTGCAAAGCGGTGTAGACACTCTGCCAGCCGGCTTGCAGTGCTCTCTCTGAGCCCTGCCTGCCCCCTGCTGCCCTGACGGCGCTGCTTCGCTCTGCCAGGTGGCCGCCTCCGGAGAGGGCTCCGCCATCAGTGGCTACCTCAGCCGGTGTAAGAAGGGCAAGCGGCACTGGAAGAAGCTCTGGTTCGTCATCAAAGGCAAAGTGCTCTACACCTACGTGGCCAGCGAGGTAGGGTGCCCTGCTTTCTTCCCTCTGTCCCGTGGGGGCCCGCGGGTCACGCCCGCGCCCCAGAGTGTCCGCGTGGGGTGTGCGCTGCGCCCCAGCCACGGGCGGTGCGAGGCCTGCGTGTGGCCCCCGGCCAGTCCCTGCCGAGGGATGCCGTGCGCTGAGCGTTGCTGTGGATATGCAGCCGCACGTCTGTTTCACGTGAAGGATTTGCCGTTTCCCTGTGGGGATAAGGTGGTTCAGCAGGCAGGCCTGGGCCCCGGCGCATTTGGGTGTCGCGGGCTTGGCATCTAGGAAAAGAAAGCTCCCTCTGCTCTCCACCTCAGTCATTCCGACAAAATTCAGCAGCTTGGAGGAAACTACTGCACCTTTTTGTCTGTGCACTTTTCAGGGAACTATAGTGCCTCGTGGTAACTCTTCTACTAAATAAAGCTTACGTCTATATATATTACAGAACATCTTACATTTATGTCTGCCAAAATACAGGGGGGAGGGCCTTGGCCAAGCGCGCTCCTGGAGCAGACGGGTGTGGGCTTGGTTGTACAGCAGGGGATGCTCCGGTCCTGCCCAGGCTGAACCTGTGGGATAACGTGAGACATTCCTTGTCCAGGCCCCACCATCTGGTGGTCTCCACAGGCTAAACCCACTTTGAAGACAGGACTTAAATGCATCCTGCTCAGCTGCACAGAGTGGGTGCTTTACCCATGAGGACGTGCGGTCAGCTCAGGGCTGGCCCTTCTCCCTTGACCACCGATGCCGGCGACCGGGCAGAAGGCACTTCCTTCTTCGGAGTGTAAAGCTTTTCTCTTGAGCTCCCTGTAGCTGTGACGGCTGCGGTCAGCCGCGTCCTCAGGGATCCCAGCAGGGACACAGACCCTGAGGGGCCACTGTGGGCCTGAGTGACCCAGGCGCTGTGTGAGCCGGGCCGTCCCCAAGGGGCCCTTCCACTCATGAGGCCACAGACAGGGCTCTCTGCGCCGAGGAGAGTGTTGATCTCCTCCTCAAACTGAACAGACGGGCCACTGAGCCCGTCTGCAGGCTGGGGCAGCGTCTCCCTCATGGTTGTCCCCCAGAGCCACCCGCAGGGCCCTCTGAGAACTGGAGTCTGAGGGACCCTGAGGAGGCAGTGCCTGGACTTACTCACAGTCGTGCCTCTTGGTGCCTCATGTCTGAGGGTGTGTTGGGGTCTCCAGAATGTGGGGCGCCCCAGGCCGGCCTGACCACAGCCCCTTCCTCATGGGGAAGCCACTGTTGCACAGAACACACTTCAGAAAGAAGCGCTACCTTAGCCGGATGGACGAAGACTAGTGATAATTCACCAACCACCAGACAGAGTGGATCCTGTCCGAGAATGGAGAACCCAGAGTCTCCAGGCCCTGAGCAACAGTCATCGCAGAAGGGACAGTGTGGGCTGATTTTAAAAGACGGATTTAACTATGCTTCTAAAGCCATTTCTTCAGAGAGGGGAACTTGTGCAGTTTCTCAGTAAGCCTTGGCAGTGGTGGGGCCAAGCTTTCCGATTCCATCAAAGAGAGAGATCTGTTAAAGTGGGTAGCCAGTGTTCACCGTCTACACTACCGTGAGCCCCGTCATGCACCCCGAAGCAGCCCAAAGCTCATGCACTTGCTGTTAGGTAACAATTGTAGGAGAGAGTGACTGTCAGAAATACATAGAAATCCTTTTTACTCTTTCTAATATTTTATTATTTAGTTAATATATTTGTTATTTTATAACTTTTCAAACAAAAGGAAATGTTGAAACAATTTTACAATGAACTGTTTTATACCATCAACTAGACTATCAATTAGCATTTTACTATACTTCCTTTATGATCTATTGATTCATTCCCCCATCCACCTTACTTTTTGGTGCTTTTCAAAGTATCCTTCCCCCTAGAGTTCAGTATTTGTGTATCTTTTTTTTTTCCTTTGAGGTACAATTTATATATCACAAAGTACACAGATCCTAAAGGTACTGTTCATTAGGTTTTGACTAAGGCGTACACCTGTAATTCCCGCCTCACCCTTTTCCCCAGAGGTGACACGCTGTTACGATTTTTTTACACCGTGTATTAGTTTTGTCTCCTTTAGATCTTCACACGAATAGAATCGTGTGACTTCTTCCACACATCGTGATGTTTTTGAGATTCATTCGTATGGTTGCATACAGCAATAGGCCATTCCTTTTTATGGCTGAGTAGTATTCCATCTTGAATTGTTGACTCTATAGATCAATTTGCGAGAATTGGCATCTGAGCAGTGTTGAATCTTCCAATCCATGAACTTGGGACAGATCTTCATTTATTCAGTTATTTAAATTCTTCTTCAATGTTTTGTAGTTTTCAGTGTAATAGTCTTACACTTCTGTTCTTCCATTTCTGTTAGGTTTATGCTAAAGTATCTTATTTTTGGATGCAATTTTGAATGGAGTTTATTTTCTAGTTATTCCCTGCTGATATATAAGTATTTTAAAAAAACTGATTATCCTGTGAGCTCACTGAACTCATTGTTAGTTCTAGCAGTTGCTTTGTAATCGAATATGTCCTTTGTGAGCACAGATAGTTTTACTTCTTTTCTGATCTTTATGTGTTCTATTTATTTTTCTTGCCTTAATGCAATGGCTAGGACCTCCAGTACAATGTTGAATTGAATTGGTCAGAGAGCACTGTCTTGCTTTGTTTCAGGCTTAGGGGGAAAGCATTCAGTATTTCACTGTTGAGTATGATGTTAGTGGTAGGTATTTTATAGATGCCCTTTGTCAGATTAAGGAAGTTCCCTTCTGTCCCTAGTTTAGTGGGAGTTTTTTGTCATGAATGGATGTTGAATTTTGTCAAGTGCTTTTTCTGATTTAGCAGTCTTTGAAAATTGATTCCCTTTGAACTGAACTCTTCTCCCCTTCCTCCTCCTCCCACAACCATTCTAATATGCTTAACTCATTATATCTCTCTGTGTTTGTGTGATTTTATAAAGTCGTATTCTTTAGGAATGTGGATTTTTACGTTAATGTATGTATATATAAAAATATCTCTATCACTATATGAAAAGCTTTTTCTTTTGCCACTTAGCACTGTGATGGTAAGATCCATCTGTGCCTCTGGGTACGTGTCACTGAACTGTCAGCTGAGTGGTCCCTGTGGAGGCGCTGTGAGCGAGGCCTCACAGTATGAGGTCGGGGAATGAATACAGGCTTCCTTAACTGGAGCAACTCTAGAGATCCAACTGAGTCACTAACTGATCGAGTCAGTGGGAAGAAAGTGGGGTTAGGAGGTGGTCATGGGTCCAAATGCTGGCTCTGCCCCTTGCTCGCTGTGCGATGTTGGGGGTCCTTTACCTTTCTCTGAGCCTCAGTTCCTTCCTCGAATGGGAGTGGCACCTTCTATGATTGTTGTGAACATTAAACAAGGTAATATGAAGGTGAAAATGCCTGGACCCTAAATGCTGTCACGGAATGTTCAGTTTCTTCCCTCCTTGTGACTGGTCCCAGTGGGAAGTGGGGGCAAAGGGTACGCATGTGGTTATTCCACGTTGCCAGAGCACGTGCCACGCAGAAGGGCTCGTCAGGCACGTGAACGTGGAGGGCGGCACCGGTGACCACTGAGCCGCGCCCTGGAGGGAGTGCCGCGTTTAACATCAGTTTCCCTCTGTCCCTCTGCAGGACACAGTGGCCATGGAAAGCATGCCCCTGCTAGGCTTCACCATCGCTCCAGAGAAGGAGGAGGGCAGCAGTGAAGTAGGACCTGTATTTCACCTTTACCACAAGAAAACCCTATTTTATAGCTTCAAAGCAGAGGATTCCAATTCTGCTCAGAGGTACCAGAATTAGCGCTGCCTCTCCTTGCCTCCCTCTCAGAGGAACCAAGCTGTTAACCCTGGGCTTTGGCTTCTGTCTTCTGTCCCGCCAGGGACAGCTGTCCTGTCCCACCAGGTCCCCTGGGCAGCAGCAGACCAGGTTCACGTCCACAGGCAGACCTCGGATATACCACGGGTTCGGTTCCAGACCACCCAGTAAAGCGAATATTCCAATACAGCGAGGCACAAACTGCATATAAAAGTTGTGTTTACCCTACACGGTATTAACTGTGCGATAGCAGTATGTCTAAAACAACAATGTGCAGACTTAACTTGAAAATGGTTTTTTGCTTAAAAAAAAAAAGCTAACCATCATCTGAGCCTTCAGCAAGTGGTAATCTTCTCGCAGTAGTAACACCCAAGATCACTGATCCCAGATCACCATAACAAGTGTAATGACAATGGAGAAGTTGGAAATATTGTGAGAATTGCCAAAATGTGCTGCAGAGACACAAAGTGGGTTAATAATGTCGGGAAAAAGGTGCTGATAGACTTGCCTTCGATTTGTAGAAAATGCAGCATCTCTGAGCACAGCAAAGCACGCACAGTAAAACGAGGTCTGCCTGGGTTATGACTCAGGCATGCAGGCGTGCGTTGATTCCACAACCTTTGCACTACCCTCCAGGCCCTTAGCTAAGTGCCAGGGAAACAAATACAAACAGGACCTGGTCGCTGACTTCAGGCTAATAGTAACGTCATCTAGTCACTCACGGGTTCCATGCCCAGAGTTCCAGGCAGAGCCACCACACCAAGCGTTCCCTCTCCTCTGTGTTGCAGGTGGATCGAGGCCATGGAAGGTGCGAGTGTGTTATAGCAGTTACCGAGCGCATGGACTCAGAATGCACGCCTAGGTTGATACGTGGACCTTTCCAGAAGCCGATCCGTGTCTCCACCCGTCCGGACACGCAGCTGGCTTCAGCACGGGACCTGATCTTTTCCGCCGACCCCCGTTACACCTTCACGAGTGGAACCCCTAAGGGATATTTATGGACCTTCCCGTCTTCATGTTTTCCACCCCACCCCTCCACCCTCGCCAGCCCTCCCAGCATAAACCGTTTCCATTTCTGGTGGAATTAAAATTTAGTAACATGAAGACACGGAAACTAATGGGAAAGTACATTTTAGAAGTGCAGGCTTTTTAGCAGAAACGAGGTGTTACAACTTTTGCTCCTGGTAAACACTGTCGCCTTTCATCTCGTTGACGTCAGTGCCTCAGGTGGAACGGGAAACAGCCGGTAAATGACAGCTACTCTCATCGAAAGCACTTTATTGTTTTACTGAGCAGCAGCCTCCAGTCTTCTGTTTTCCAAGTAATTTACTTAAGTTGATGGCAGTGGAGTCCTGTGGACTAATTTGCCACCAGTACTCAGCAAAGGCGTCCGGCCGTTGGTTTGTGCGAGCCCGGCTGTGGCCGGGAGTGTCCTTCCTGCGGAGCGGGGGCCCCGCTGCACCGGAGTGGGAGGGAGGGCTCTCCTCCCAGAGACCACTGACCTGCGGGCTGACATGACTTCAAAAGAGGAACCCCCTCCTCCCCACTGCGGTCCCAACACCACGCCCGTGCTGGAAACTCGGCTGCTGGCCCCTCCGGCCCCCGCCCTGGAGGTCGCTGCAAACCCTCCGAAGAGACAGGGTCTGCTTTAATTTATTGTGTGCCTTCCTGAGTTCACCCCACACGAGCCGACAGCGTGATGCGTATGAGAACTGTTCTTGTTATCCACACGGTTATCCTCCTGCTGTGTTAACAAAGCCTTGAAAGAGATACAAGGAGAGAAAACAGGATACGATCAGAGGTGGATGCGTGGTCTTGGCCGGTGGCTCTGGACGCAGCGAGGGAGCAGGGAAGTAGTGGCTTACGGATGCTCTCCTCCCGCCGATGACTGCTGCTCGCAATGCTGGACATGTTTTTACGTAAAGCAGAGTGGTGGGGGGACCCCTTGTTACTCTCATCAAAATAATAAAGCAGTCGTATCATTTTCTGATGTCCTGTCCCCTAAAAAAACACATTTGTTGACGGGCCTCTTGTAAAAAGCACCATCCAGGAGTTACTTACACTACATTTTTTCAGGGGAATTTTTTATTTTAGTTTACAGTTCTTCTTTAAAGCAGTTTGAGTAAACATTTAATTAATGATTCAAGCTAAGTGATTAGACAGGGCCTCTTGTTAATTTTTGAGGACTTGATTCCAGCGGAATCATTTTCATCATCGGACATATTTGAATGGAGCCTTTAAAAAGCGCAGCAAGACTCCAGCGCAGGCGGTGTGCGCTTCCCCAGCCTGCTCTGAGTCCCCGCCCTTTGTTGGTTTCTGAGCTCCGGGCAGAATTGTGTCTGAAAGTCATCTGAAGGCCTCTTTTACTGTATAAATCCTATTTCTGATACTCTGTAAAGAAGAGGTCATGGCAGGTGTGGGAATAGCTGAGTCGTAGAGCACGTACTTAGAACGAGGTCCTGGGTTCAATCCCCAGTACCCTCTGCTTAAAAAAAGAAAAAGAAAAAAGATAATACGGCTTTTATTCCTCAGTGAATAGTTACTCTAATCACATCACCTGGTTTATCAATAAAACATACTGGATGGGTTTTATAAAAGGAAGCAGCTACCAAGATCCTCCACAGCTGGTGTGTGGCCGGCAGGGAACTGCCTGGCTCCCTGGGCATGGTTTGCACCCATCCTTCCCATGGTTCTTTGCCTACTCGCTTCAGCCAGTTTCTACTGGCCGGCACTGCTCGTTGGTCCTCCCCTGCCCTTCTCTTTGTCCAGCCCATTTTACAGGTTCATGTCACCCGTCTGTCCACGGGGCCAGCCCAGAGGAGCTCGGATGAGACTGCCCACCTGGCCTGAGGTGCTCCTTCCCACTGGGCCTGGAGGCCGCACAAGTGGCTACCCGAGGCTCCTCGACAGCCTTTGCTCCCTGCTCCCCGGGCACAGGGCAGCCCTTCCACTGCACGTCCCCAGCAGTGGCTGTGTTTCCAGGGAGGGAGCGACGCTGTGCCAGGCTGTGCTGTGGCTCAGAAACCAGAACTCTGTCCAGTAGCTCTGAGCCCTGGTGCCTTCACCTGCCTGTCACGCAGAGAACAATCCAGCTTCTCAAAGAGTTCAGGGGGCGCTGCGCACCGCGGGTGGCTGTAGACGTGCACGGAAGGCCGTCAGCCCTGGAAGCAGGTAGCACCTACTTTACATCGTGTTGGCAGGCTGAATGTGTGTCTGCAGTCTGGACTGGTCCTAGGAAGTAGTAAGAACTCTGTCTGTTATCACTAACACAGAGCACACCAGGGGACAGTAGAGTTCGGGGACACTGATGGCATTCTTGGGTCTTAATCATAATTCTGCATTTCAGGCTGACAGACTGCTCAGGCTGACAGACTCACTGACCGCTTGCTCTCCCTCGGATGCGGCCTAGGCAGGTGAGGGGCTGTCACCCAGGTGGCATGTGGGCATGCACCAGTGAGCTGGTGCTGGGGACCCCTGTGGCCCTGCTGCAGCCACAGAAGCGAGTCAGAGTCCTTTCTCCATCTGGTCCAGCCTCTCACTTGACTGGCAGAGGCCCTAAATGGGGACTCAGGCCCCCGGGCTGGGAGTGGTAGGAGCAGATTGAAGCCCCAGTTTCCTTCTGCAACCAAGCGAAGTCAATGACATCCTGAAATATTCTCTGGTTAATGGATTCAGCCTGTGATACGCGGCTTCTATGATCAGGGAAACTCCTGAGCTTCCATGTATTAATGGTCAGGCGAGAGGACAACTGTGTCCACACTAAGATGTCTATTTTCAACAGCACTGGCTTAAACAGGAAATCAGCTCAGTAAGCGGAGGTGGGAAAGCGGGGCAGGCACAGGCTTAAACAGTGTCCCCCACGCTCCAGGCTCTTTGGGTTTCTCTGACCTGCTGTCCATCGTCAGCTTGATTCCAGGGCTGGTTCCCAAGAAGCTGGCTGGTGACTGCCCCCAGGGCGGGGGCTGCCCTCCGGCCTGTTCATAGGCCCCGAGGAGGGAGGGCTCAGCTCCCCGTAACCTTGTCTTAGCAGCCCCCAGCAGGCGCCCCACGGCCCCAAGACCGCACTTACTCTAGTCACTTCGAGGGCACCGCCCCGGCGGGCACAGACAGGCAGCTGGGGGCGAGGGCGCTGCTGGGGGCTCTCCCGCTGTCCGCCCCGGACCACGTCTTCTGGAGGGAAGACTAGTGGATCGGTGTGGTGCAAGGCCTGTGCCTTGCCATGGGTTTGGGGGATGTTCCGTGGTAGAGTAACGGCCATCACTCGGGCATCTATTATACATGTTTGCTAAGTATTAGCGTCAGTGGGACTGAGGAGGCTGGTTTGATGTTACTGATCTTTTATGTCCCTAGTCAACCACCGCTGTGAAATCGGCAGCCGAGCAGCACCGACCTCTCGCTGGCTCCTGAAAGACCTGTGTGACTGTCAGCTGGCGTCTTGGCAAGAAGCGCTCTAAGTGTCCTAACCCTGCCCCTTCCTTTAATTCTCCCAAGGACCTGTTGAGGTCAGTAGTTATTTATTATTATTATTATTATTATTATCATCATCATCATCATCATCATCATCATCATCATCATCATCATCATCATCATTCCTGTTTCGCAGATGAGGAAAGTGGGGAGTAGAAGCGTTCGGTCACTTGCCCAGCGTCACACACTCGCAACGGGCAGACCCACGCTGTGACTTCGCCGTAGCACCTCCCTTGAATGCATGTGAGCTGATACAGTGGGCCATTTTCTGATCCTTGCAATGTGAATTCCCTCCTAAAATTGACAGAAATCTGACTGCAGAGGATCAGTCAGTAGGATGTCTTCCTCCAAAGCCATAACACAGTGTTGAGTCAGCCAGAATCTTGTGTTTCTTTATCCAAACAGAATCCTTAGATGTTATCATGAAACATACAGTCCATGCATATAACCCAACATTATTTCAGTATACTGATTGCAACAATGAATACCGTTCTATTTTTCTGCAATCATATGCACAAGGTTTACCTCAATGGAAGATGGGGATCTGGAGATTTAAAACCCGAAGTACACGTTTAAAAAAAAAAGTTAATGTTTTACACCTAGTGTATTCCGTAATTGACATGTTAGGTTGAACACTCAAGTGTGAGGGATTAAGGTAAGTGACTTTGGGGGTTCAGCTCACTTTTCTCACTTACATAATGGAACAGATTAGAATTCCTAAGATGGATTTGTAAATAATAATAGCCTAAAAATGGATCAATTACTTGCTATTCTCAAACCCTTTAAGAACGTACGTTGTGTGGTGCGAAGTTCAGCCTGAAAGCTGTAGTCGGCACGCGTTCTGTGAGAGCTGACAGGAAGTCTTGTTTGGGGAAGGAAGCCACCCGACCCTCGCCACACCAGCCCTGAGAGGAGGAGGGCAGGTGTTCACAGAACACCTCTTTGTCCTGGGGGGTCGCACCTCCCCGCCGGAGGGGGCTATTTCCAGAAGTGAAATCTAGCTGGGGCAAGTGCTGCATGGCCCGGAGCCTGTGGTCGTGTGAAGCCAGGGCAGTGTGTCTAGGGTGACAGACCACAAATGTGCAGCTTGCTGCAGCCAGAACCTGGCACTTTTCCAAGGCTGCCCCCCACCGCCCAGGCGAGGTGTGGAGAGGAGCTACAGAGGGACGGCTGGTCCTGCGGACTGCTGTGTGGGCTCAGACCCGTCTGTGGCCTGAGACAGCCACCCGAGGTCGAGCTGAGCACCCCCATGCATGCATGGCCCTGGGCTCCTCCTGTGGCCCACACGTCCCCTCTCTAGGCCTGGGGAGGGGCCCCAGTGTCCACAAGGGCCTCGGGAGGCTGTGGACGGGCAGAGTGGGGATCTGGGGTTGGGAGGGTCTGGGAAGCTTTCAAAGAGGAAGGGGTGGTTCAGCTGCATCTTAAGAAAGAGTAAAAACTCTGCTCAGTCACAGGCAGTGACCTCAGCTTGTGGCCAGACTTGGCATCTGGTGCCAGTTTACAAGGTCTGTCTGCAGTGTATAGTCAGACCCTCAGCTGGAGGAAACGAGACCCAAGAGTGTCTGAACTGTTTTAGGCATGAGCGCTGTCACTGGTTTCATCAGACAGGATTGCAAGTCACCTTTTGGAACTTGACACATGCCAGACATTCTCAGGAGAACTACACGGCCAAGGTGGTGAACACTGAGGGGAAGCCAGCCTAACTGCACCAGATTCGAGACTGCAGCGGCAACGCCTGGCAGGACAACATCCCCTTCCACAGAGCTCTCCTCTGCAGAAGCTTGACAACCCTGTGGCCACCCTCATCACGCCCTCGTGGGCGTGGAGCGATTTGCAGACCAGTTCTCTGCCTGGTCTCGGGCTCTTCCTTGTACAGAGAGTTGACGATGTCTTCTGGGAAAGGGTGTTCTGTGTTGACAGAGCAGAATGACAGCAGGCCTCCTCTCCGCTTGGATCATCTTCCAAGGGTTCCGTTACAATAAAGCCAACGTAGAGAGTGGGAGAGAGGCTTGGACAAGAGAAAATCTGTATTAAGAAAGTGTGGAAGGAAGGAGAAAAGAAAAAAGGAAGAAAGCAACATAATGAGGTTTTTTTATCCTTTTTTCAAACTCTGGGAGTGAGTCATGAAATCTACACAATGGGTCACGACCAGGACCCCACCCCTGCCCCACACACCAAAGAGCAGAGCAGAGGGCAGCAGAATATTCCATCATCCTTAAGGACCATTTCATGACCTTTTTGTTTCAATCATATCTGATTGTTGATGTAAAATGTTTATACCGATAGATTATGAGAAGAAAATTTTAATCACTAGCTTAAGACTATCAGATAAGGAAAAAAAATAAAGAGCACAAAGTTGCAGTTAGACACATAATGAGCCAAAATGGAAGACTTTTAAAGTCACACATTCAAATGTAATGACGTTTCCAGTTTTATTTTTTGAATGCTTCAGAATATTACAAAAGGGAAAAGTGTGTAAAATTCATGGCAAAGCAACACAAATTCTTTTCATCAGGA